ATCTCTGGATTCTCAGTCCTGTTCCAGAGGTCTATGTCTCTGTTCTTGCGCCAGTGCCATGCTGTTTTAGTTACTGTAGCCTTGTAGTACAATTTGAAGTCTGGTAGACTGATACCTCCCAGTTTGTTCTTTTTACTTAAGATTGCTTTGGCTATACGAGGTCTTTTCTGATTCCATACAAAGCGTACAATTATTTTTTCTAGTTCTGTAAAGAATGATGATGGAACTTTGATAGGGATTGCATTAGTTCTGTAGATCACTTTAGGTAGTATGGACATTTTAACGATACTGATTCTACCAATCCATGAGGAAGGTACGTTTTTCCATCTGTTTACATCTTCTACAGTTTCTTTTCTTAGTATTTCGTAGTTCTCCCTGTATATGTCTCTCACATCTTTTGTTAAATATATTCCTAGATATTTAATTTTCTTTGAAGCTATTGTAAAAGGTATTGCATTTTTGATTTGAATTTCGGCTTGACTGTTATTGGCGTATATGAATGTCTCAGATTTGTGTGTATTGATTTTGTATCCTGAGACTCTACTGAATTGATTTATCAATTCTAGGAGTCCCTTGGATGAATCCTTGGGGTTTTCTAGATATGGTATCATATCATCGGCAAAGAGCAAGAGTTTGATCTCATTTGCGCCCATTTGGACACCCTTGAAACCCCTCTTGCCTAATTGCCGTGGCGAGGATTTCAACCACTGTGTCGAATAGAAGTGGAGATGAGGGGCAACCTTGTCTGGTTCCAGTACTAAGTGGGAATGCTTTCAATTTTTTCCTATTCAGTCTGATATTGGCAGTGGGTTTGTCATAAATGGACTTGATAATTTTAAGGAATGAACCATCTATGCCTGTTTTGATGAGAGTTGACCTTTGCTTCTACATCTCCCTTTTCTTTTAGAGAGGAAGATGTATACATTGGATATTTGCCTCTGGCTCATGTTCTGGAATTAAGCGCTGAGCTTGTTTGTCTTTTTCATGGATGCTGCATTGGCTACTCTTCCCCACAGACTCTAGCAGATCAGGTAAATTAAATGTCTATGACTTGAAATACTAAAAAAATGATAATTATTTTTAACACTTTTTTCAGTCAGTATGATAGTATATTGTAAGGATGACAGATAATCATTTTAAAATATGCTGTTGCCTTTTAAGTGCTTCTTAGAATGTAAGTACATTAAAATGATGAATTTATAATATGTTTTTTTTTTTGAGACAGAGTCTCACTCTGTTGCCCAGGCTAGAGTGCCATGACATCAGCCTAGCTCACTGCAACCTCAAACTCCTGGGCTCAAGCGATCCTCCTGCCTCAGCCTCCCAAGTAGCTGGTACTACAGGCACATGCCACC